GAGTCGGAGGCGGCGAAAGTAGCCTTCCAGATCACCACAGAACTGTATCATGTTCGTGGGGGTGCTGGGGCAAAAGGAGAGTCCCCGAGATAGGACAGACTCTTCTGCTGGGTTGAGTGTGTAGCTGGATAAATTGATGATATTGCTGGGTGAGTTATATACCTGCCTCTAGAGATTTCCATTACTTGCATCTGAAGAAGTGAGGTTCTTACCCACGAAAGCTTATGCTCCCAATACTTCTGTTAGTCTCAAAGGTGCCACAGGACCCTCTGTTGCTTTTTACAGATTCAGACTAACACGGCTACCCCTCTGATACTTAATACGTGCAGTGTGTAAAAATGTAATAAAATCTTGGATACATTTTAATGCATGAAATTAGAAACACTGAAAACACTGGAAAATGAAACAGCTTTCATTGTTCTGTGGCATTACTTAACCTCTGACAAAACTTCATGTTTAGCTTAAAACTGACTTACTAGCATGTCACAATTATGTGATTTGCTAAAACATTTTCACGGGAGATAATATAAAATGACATGCAAACCATTCTGCTAGGGTTACTTGAAATAATTCACACAGTAAAACTCCAATTTAGTTTAAAAGGACACAGATAACAGTAAACCCTATAATATTAATTAAAAAAAATGGGTGGTTGGATTGTGATTATGAATGGAATAAAGTTTGCATTAGGGCTTTGCACAGGAATCTCATTATGACAGAATTTCTGGGATTAGGAAAGGGAGTATTAACTCAGGCACAGTCCCTAGACCAGGGATCAGCAACCTTTGGCACACGGTTCGCCAGGGTAAGCACCCTGGTGGGCCTGGTTTGTTTACCTGCCACGTCCGCAGGTTCGGCTGATCGCGGCTCCCACTGGCCACGGTTCGCCATCCCAGGCCAATGGGGGCTGCGAGAAGCAGCAAGGGCTGAGGGATCTGCTGGCCGCCGCTTCCCGCCGCCCCCATTGGCCTGGAACGGCGAACCGCGGCCACTGGGAGCTGCGATAGGCTGAACCTGTGGACGCAGTAGGTAAACAAACTGGCCCGGCCCACCAGGGTGCTTACCCTGGCGGGCTGCGTGCCAAAGATTGCCGATCCCTGCCCTAGACTTACACAATAATAACTGGGAGAACTCCCAACCTTTGGTACTCCTTCCCCAGTGCAATCAGCATCAGCTACAGCTGAGGTCACAGGGATAAAATAGGGTCTACAGAGATATGTCTACCCTGCAGCTGGGAGCCTCCCAGCCTGAACAAACACATACTATCTGTGCTTCAGCTATCAGATTCAAAAAACAACATGAATGTTGTAGCATGGGAGATGGTGTGACCTAGCTTCTCAAGTACAAGGCTGAGCCAACCACCCTAGGTCTGTACTTTGGTGGCTAGCCCATGCCGCCATGTGCACACTGCTCTTTTTAGCACACTAGCTTGAACAGAGCTAGTGCATTAGTCTATCCAGCCTGGGAGATCTACAATGCAGCTGGGAGTATAATACTGCCTTAGGGCCTTCTAGGTCCTCTGTCCCTCAGACAGACCCAATCAAGGCAAAAAGTTCGGGAAGCTCTTGTTTTCCCTCCCACTACCTCCACATGGGGCACAGAAGCTGAGAGAAAGCTCGTGGGGGTGTATTTTTGAAACTCGATGTCCTTCCCCAAAGCAGCTACCTTTGTCTTCCTGCTTCAAAGGGAGCCCTTGACTTGTCCTCCTGGCTCCTATTCCTCCTGGCAAGCATCAGCCTGCAGTCTTTGTTTTGTTTCATACCTTGAGACCCCATTCCTTCTGACTCCCCAGGCAAGTCATTAGAGCTCTGAAACTTTTGGAGACAGATGGGATTTCCACCCCCCCCCCCGTAAAGATCAGAATTGGAGGGATTGGGGCGAGGGGGGGGGGGAGGAAAATCATAGAAACCGCTATACCAAGTCAGTGGTCCATCTATTACAGTATCCTATCTTTGACAATGGCCAGTAATGGATGCTTCAGAGAAAGGTGTATTAAACTTCATAGACAAATATTTAATAACCGCCAACAAGAGAGGCTTCTGCCTAACCTCTATCAATTAGTCATTGGATTCTGCTTGAAGCATGGGACTTATATCGGTCCTAAAAGAGGTTTTCTTCCTATATTTCATTTAGTTTTTCTGTAACTGTCAACATTCTCATTATCTATTTAAATATCTAATCCTACTTTGAATGTAATTAGGCTTTTGGTCTCAATGTTAGCATAAAGTTTCACATGTTAATTGTGTAAAAAAAGTTTATAATCAGTTTTACAGTTATTTAGTGTCATGAAATTTCCCCTTGTACTATGGAGAAGGGTAAACAGGAGCACCCAATTTACTTTCACCATACCATTTATTATTTTTATATTCCCTCTTATTTATCTCCTCTTTAAATGTAATAGTCACAATCTTTTCAACCATGTGTCACACAGAAGTCTCGTCAGGCCTTTAATCACTTCACAGCCGTTTTTGAACCTCTTCTATTTCTGCTATCTCTTTTGAGATAGGTGACCAGAACTTGACACAGTATTTCAGGAGAAGGCATCATACTGATACATAATTGCATTATACTATTTTTAGTATCCTTTTTGTTTTGCTGTGTACTAAGTAAAGACTTTCATTGAACTGTCCAAGTAACAGCCACATCTTTTTTCTGAGTTAAGAGCCCAGCAACATGTGAGAGTAGTTCTCTTTATTCCATCCAATGTTTATTATTTTGTATTTGTCAAAATTAAATGTCACCTGCCATTGTGCTGGATATTGGCCTAACTTTGTTAGGTCCCTCTGAAATTCCTCAGTTTTATTTATTCTTGAATAAGCAAAATATTTTTTCATCTGTTAAATTGCCACTTTACTGTTCACTTTTCCAGACAACTGATAAACACCACCAGTTCTAATGTGGAATGTTACAATTTTTCAGAAGTTGTGAATGGAGGTTCAGAAATATCCAGGTTAACTGTATCTTGAAAAAAATCTGATAAACAGCTCATGGTATAATTTTTTAGTTTGCTGGATAAAAATGGGTACAGATTTCTTAAATAAAAATTAAAGAGTCACTCAATTGAACTGGTTTAGGCACACTATGGAAGTATATTATTGAAATCTTCCATACACTAATCAAGGACTCAACTGTTATTTCAGTATTTTTAGTGCTAAACTGAAGTTTCTACTGTAGAAAAATCCACTAAAAATCTAAGTTGATAATTCTATATTCTTCCACATGACCCAAGATCAATCTAAATCTATACATAAAAATACTGTGTCATTAAATGACAGATCATGAGGTCCAGTAGAATGAACAGTAACTCCAAGTACCTCTAATGACTCAATGAGTAGCCTGGAGTAAATCGTTTAGCCTTCCCTTTGTGTCCCCATCTGTACCCACTTATCTCAGCTGGATATTTTAAAGAATAATCAGTTTCTACACTGCTTTGAAACTGTAATGTGCTAAGTATTACTGATATCAAAAGCACAAATCTTGAATTAAGCTCACAGATTTCTTGTTGATGTTAAAAGGCAATTTACTAGCACTCTCAAGGGGACAAAGAGATTTATGTTATATGAGACTAGTACCACCAAACTATTTTTTCCTCTTATTGCTTGAAAATAAGTTATACATGCAGCATAGTAGAAACTGTATGAATAAAGGGTCATTAACTTTCAACAGCATGCTTACTTAAGGTTTACATTTTGAAATGTGTACTGTTAAGGAATTTGTAAAATATAGGCTTTAGATGTAGCTACATTTAAAGTATTCCCTTAACAGCCAAGTAACAAATTAATGTCAAAGATGTATGAAGCTGTAATGGAACAGAAGACAAAAGCAGCTGACCCACAAACACTTCTTTCT